TATATATATATATATATATATATATATTTCTCATTTGAAGTTTTAATATTTTTTTATTTCACTGTTTGTGAAAATTAGTAGGCAGGTCACAGTGGTGCTGGGTGATAGTGATGGTGGTGTTGGTTGGCAACGATGGTGGCTCTAGTAGGTGATGATGATGGGTGATGGTGCTGGTGGGTGGTGGCAATGGTGGCAGTTGGAGATGATGGTGGTGGTGGTACTAGGCGGCAGTGGTGGTTGGAGGCGACAACAATGGTGGGTTTTGGGTAGTGGTGGTTGGCGATGATGGTGGACAGTGGTGATGGTTGTAGTGGTTGTCGGCGATGACAATGGTTGGTGTGGTGGCGGCAATGGTGGTGGTGGACAGTGGTGGTGGGTGGCGGCGGTACAACTTTTACTTTCTCCTTTAATAAATAAAAATAATGTGATACATTTTATATTTTTTTACATCGTAGTTGATATTTAAAAATAAAAAGGGCAAGTTTGAAAAAATTTAATAAGATAACATTTATACATCAACGATCAATTATATGATTTATTTGAGACAAATAAAAATAATATTCTATAATTTTTAATCTTCTTACAAATTCTATGTTTTACTCATTTTTGGTTGTATATTCTACAATTTTTCAGGCAAAAGAGGTTCAACAAATTATACCGATACTATTACAACATACATGCGAATCAATTTTAGTTTGCTGCTTTTAAGAGATTTGGTGTTGACTTTTTATTTTTTTGTTGTAGTACCTAACTTTTTTGACCCAATTAATTTTATTTTTTCTAAAATCATTATGGTGGTTCTAATTGAGGATGTCCAAAAAACTATTTAAAACATATATACATAAAAAAAAATTCAAGGTTGGGCCAGGTCCCTACCTCCCTCTGCCAATAGTGGTGGGTGATGGGTGGCAACGATGATGGTGGTGGGTGGTGGTGATGGTGATGATAGTAGTAATAAATATAAAAATGAGATAATAGTGGAGGTTTTCAAATAACCTCCTTCATTAAGGTTTTTTGCCAATGATTGATTCTTAAAAGTGTTAAGACTAGATCTAAAACCAAAAAATTCTTGAATGTGTACCTTTCCCAAAAATCTCCCCAATGATTTTGACTAGATCTTACTCGATGGACACCCTTGGCAAAAAGAATGGATGAGTTTATGATTTGGCTGCCTCCAAACATTTCTCGCTCTATTATGTACATTCACTATGGGTGTGTGAAGACACGATGCAATATAAATGATTTAGAAAGGGATATTGGTGGTTGTTGGATGAGTTCATTTGAAACCGTTAGATAAACTTATTGAAATTTATCCTATTTTATAGTATAGATAAATTTGGTCAATTCCAATTAAGTGGATGTTTGGATTGGTGATAAGAGAGTGGGATGCGTTTAAATTAGTCTAAGGACCACATAATCCTTGCTTACTTGGATTTTCCGGCCTAGAATAAGAAAGGGATCTGAGTTCAGAATGAACAGTGGCCTAAATCCCTTGTACACCGGTCACTAAACCGCATCACGTCTTCACCGAAGAAGAATAGTGGGATAAGAGAGTGGGATATGTTTTAATTAGTCCAATGGCCCACACAACCCCTACTTTAGTCGAATTTTTCTGCCATAAGAAAGGGATTATAACTCGGTTCCGGCACCAACAAGGGACCAAACCCCGAAATTGACGAGGAATAAGCATGGCAAAAAGAACCGCAGAAGAAATTAGACCTGCAAAATAATTTTTTATTTTTATTTATTTTAGACAAAACATACACAGAAGAAACACACACAACAATCTACACAGCAAAACTCAACATACACATAGAGAGGGGCAAAATAACTTCAATACCCCCATCTATTCCGTACGACATATAACACAATCCTCCACTCCACCCAAACCCAATGCAACTGTAGAAATAATATTACATGGGACCAACATTCATACCAGCTTCAAATCCAAACATGGAAACGAAAACCCTTACTTTTGGATTGGGTTTTCGATAAACCCGGACACATTCCTTTTCTTTTCTTTTTTTTTCTTTTGGATTAATCTCTAGACCAGTTTACAAATACTTTAACTCTTTAACTAATATCTTCTCTATTTCAATCATATGTAAACCATCTATACCGAAACTAAAAAATTCATAAAAGATAAATTTTTTATAACCTCATCCCAAAAGAATTGTCAAGTTTCAAAGTTATGATGTCTAAATTTACAACTCCTCATTTTCTTTGTTGGAATTCCCTTTGAAGTTGACACACCCCATTGTTTTGAACAACCCAAGAATGCCCTAATAGTATGAAAACCATCGAGTGTCTATCATGTAATAAAAACATTAAATAAAACATAACCAAATTTAGTCAGTTTGGGGTTCCAGTAAGCAGCTCTAATGGTTTCATGAAAATCCTTTGATCAGAAGTAATTGAGCCTTCGTAATTTAACACGTAGAAGAAAGTAATCTGCAGACTGTCAACCTCCTAAACAGGATCCAATGCCCATTTACCTAGCAAAAAATTAAAAAAAAAAAAAAAAAAACTAAATTCAATACATTGCCATACATGCATCCACTTTTAAGTGCAGTGATTTTTTCCAAGACAATTACAATTTCCTAGTATACTTTTGAACATGACCAATATTGCTACATAAATGTTTTACATCCATTTTAGGCATTCGGCTAATTCAATTTTTTTATTACAAGCACATGTAACAGCAAATAATACGCTATGCACAAGTAATAGACCTGAAAAAAGCATAATCGAAACTCAAAATAATCAACAGGCAGCACATTCTCTTACACGCTGCTCGAAGGTATCTTTATGTATCCAGCCATGGATTGACAGTTTTTACTGTTCTCCCTCCTTGATTAGTTGCAAGGATGCAATTCAAAAAACAAATATTCAGAGAAACTATCTTGCTAAATTGCTTTTGACATCAGCGTTTTGATGTCCCACCAAATTCCTCCAAGAGTCGTTCAATAGTCTTCCTTGATGTAACCTTTTCAATCTCGAATGCTCTCATCTCATCTCTTAGACCTGCAGGACCATGATCTGAAAATTTTCATGTCTGCATTCTGAAAAGGGCATTAATTAACCCTTATATGAAGGTAAATTTACACGTGAAGTAACAATAAAAAGAAGGCAAACATAATTTGTTTGTGTGTGCATGCATGTGTGTTTCCTGTGGGTTATTGGTGTCTTATAAATTTCCTACAACTCCCAACAATTGTGGCAATGTTATTATAGTTATGCAGCATCAAGTTCCAACGTGGGAACTTGGAAAATTCAGGCAATCTAATTCCTGGTTTGCGCTGCCAATACTGGAAACCAGCTACTTAATGAAGATTTACTTGTTAAGATGCTCTAATCTAAGTTATCCAACATCCACGTTGCTCCAAAGAATAAAAAAGAGACCCACCAACTAAACAACAGCACCATTAACTGAGGAAACTTCCAGAGGCATATACTATGATTACATGAAATTCTTTTAGCAAGATCGAACGATTCATCTAGAGAATAAAACACGAAATCCTTTCACTCACTTGGTTGAACTTGGTCAAGATAACCAGTCCAAGTCCAAACATTTACCTACTTCAATTTTCGAACGATATTTTGAAGCTGGGAATCAGGAGTTAAGAGAGTAAATAAATAAAGCTTGTTGAGGACACATTTTCAGATTTAAATTATGTTTTAGATATACTAATACCCCACCCTGTCAATCTAGAAATCTTGGTTCAAAGTTCAAGCTTCCCATTACTGGGTAAAATATACTTCTTTGCATTTATTACGATACTTTCTCCATGAGGATCAAAGCTAGATGCAACATTCACATGCTGGCAATCTTACACAAATTTCTATTTTGATCATCTCTAATGAATTTTATAAGTATAAAAAAATGAAACAACAAACTGACCTGGTTGATGCAAAACTTTAAGCGGCAACTGAGTGTTCAAATGAAAGAAGTGAAGCAGGTTTTTCAAAAGATCAGCAGATTCAGCAGAGACCAAGATTTCCCTCTGACATTAATAGAGATGGAATTAGTCAGAAATGGCAATATAGTTATTATAAATGCAGAAAATCTCTTCATCCATCTTTCAAACCGTAAGACCTGCCAAAGTTTGACTGCTCACAGGGAAAAATACCCACAGAAAAATTAAAATATGTTCTGAAATTTTAGCAGTTTTACGTATACGCATTTATATTAATCCATCATTTTTTAGAGAGGTTTCCTCAGGTCTTCTCTAATCCAAATCAATGTGAAAAGATCATTGTCATTATTATTGTTGTTGTTCCTCCTCCTCTTCTGTTGTTATTGTTATTATTATTATCATTATCATCTTCATTGACAGGAAATATGATAGATAATTAGTTGCAGAACCCAGCTGTGACAATATTGACATATGTGCCAGAAATGTAGCAATTCCTTATGAATAACTTATGTGATGCTAATACATCGCCTATAAAACACAAATTACAAAAGGAAACAAAATGAGTTGACCATCTGGAGATTAGCTCAAAGCCAGGTTCGAAGAATAAAATCCACTGAATTTTTCTAGTCACAGATGGTAAATAAGGCATGCCTTACAGCAGGTGGCATCAAGCCAAAGGTCTATTAGTATTGAACTTTGCCCAGAAAAAAATGAGAAAATTTACACAGGTTCACAAACAGTCAAGAGAACAATAAAAGTCTGCGAACCTTGAAGTTCTTCTGAGTATCATAGCGGCCAGAAACAATCATGAGTAGTCGAAGTTTCTCTAACCCTGCATTTCCAAAAGAAGCATGTACGTTCTTAATGAAGGAAAGAGGCTCATAAAATTCATCATCATACCAAGTTTTGAAGGGTGCCCTTATGAGCAGATCAAAGATCAAGTGTGCACAAATACCCTAACTTCGTAGCCCAATAGCAAAAGAGAAAGAATAAGGCAATTGAGAAACATGGAAGTAGAAAGGAGAAGGCATATGTGCTCTCAACCATGTCTGGAAGCAGCGCAACAACTTGAAAAGAAAAATCCGATTGAATGGTTGCTACGTGTACAAGAAATACAGAAATGTTGGGGACACAGTAAGACTTTTTTGGGTACGAAAGAGAAATACTGATGGGAGGCCAAGAGAGAAGAATGCAGGATAATAATCAAGGGAAATGCTCCAATTGTCGATCAAAGAAAAGGAATTTACAAAGTATTAAAACAACTGGGGTAAGTCGTAGTAGCAACAATGATAATAAAATGAGATCGATTCACCATCAATTTTATCCATATATGTCAACGAATCAGGAAGTTCAATAGTTTGCATGATCAGTTACTCACGCTGGAAAGATATGATTTCTTGACTTGATCTATCATCATGGGCCAGTAGTTGTGAAATGGAAATTCCAATCGAACTCATCCCAATGCTTGATACCATCAATCTTGAACGTGGACTCTCTGGTTTACCTGGTTTAACAATTTTCAAATGAACGGAATTCAACCCTGAAGTTAGATGTTTCTAGCAGGAGTAGCATTTCATGTTAAGGAATGAGATATTTAACAAGTGAATCTAAAGTAATATTTCGATCTACCACCATGACTGTATGAGCTCTACAAAAGTAGACATGACTTCACTCGTTGCAGATAATTCGGGTATATGCGGGGAAAATATTCAGATGTGTACATAAAGGAGTTGTTTGCTATCACAATTACATGTTTAAAATTTAATTTATTTAGTGATTGTTAAATTAAGTGCATTTGATTACGCACAACCCGTATCCCATTAACTATGATGTCTGGTTGAAAAAGAGTAAAAACTTGAAGTCAAGGCACCTCACTTACTTCTAAATCTGGAACACACTCACAAAATCATTTTAAAGTTCTTGCAAATTGGACTAATAACCTTAAATATCCTCCTGGATCTGGTACCCATAAGATTTGGTCATTCATCTTACTTCGTTTTGAGCTTCAATAGAAAGGATGAATGAAAAAACATCAACAGTGATCAACTATAACACTGATCTCATTAGCAATTATCAAATGCGGTTTGCATTTTGCAAAATCTTTAATATGGAGAAGTCAACTTGATCGTCCAAGTGCACTTAGCTATTTATGAATTCTCTATACGAGAGCTACTACCTTCTTGATCTTGATGACAATACAGAATGATAATTGACGTCGTCCAGTTTGTACACCCTCAAGTGTAGCTTATCCAATATCATGAAAATTTATAACAATGCATGCATGGAATGAAGATACATAGAGCATGCACTCAAAAACAGGATTAACAACAAATTCAAGGTAAGAGAAGTCCAAACCTATTCTTGTCCACTTCTTGAAATCTTTGCGCAGGATTTCTCCTACTTTGAGGTCTGATATGTCGTACATCTTGTATCTCACTGGAAAAGATTGTAACCTCCAAAATGAGCGCCACTATTCTGATAGCGAATTGAAAATCTAACTTCAAAACACATAAATTAATTAATGTTGTAATGCGTACAGATTTGGTGAAGACCATTGCATCCAAATCGACCTGCCCCATTTATCAACAATGTCGCCATGTGCTTATCTTTGGTGGTACACTCAGAGTTGGTCAAGTTTCCTGTATCCATAAGAATGCCTGCTAACTGCAAGCGGATAGAGCAGAAAAAACTCAATGACAGATATATTTTAGTAGCAAAAGAGGAGAAACTAAGCTCAAACTGAGCCAATATTATAATGCAGTAGTAGATAGTACCGTATCCTTTGATCAGCGAGAAGGGTGACAAAGTAAAGGAAAGGATAAGGGCTATGATGTTTAAAGGAGATAATTATATTCACACAATATGATTTACTATGTGCATAGGAACTCGAAGCAAATCCAATTCTGGTACAGTTCCAGAGTCCACGTCAAATATTCAAAGCAGAATTAGGAATTTAAGAACTCCCACATTTTGATCCATTGGTAAGATAAATCAACGAGAGAACATAATCTTCACATTCAGATGTTTTAATTGTTGTTTTTTGTTGGATGTCTTAGAAAAAGGGCAAATACTGAGTGTCGACTGAAACATCCTGCATAGGAATACCTTGTGAAATTTTTTAAGACCAACCAAGTCTAAAAAATGGAAACAAAAATAAAAACATTTAAAAGTCCAAGATAAAACGGAAACAGAAAAAAATGTATAATTGGGAGTTTAGAAGCACTAAGCACCAAAAGTCGACTGAATCCTTGCCCTGCTAAAATCTCTGGTGAAGTAAGTGCAAACTTTTCAGCAATAAGTGTGCAGCATGAGCAATCCTGTATCATAAGTGATCATACATATCACCACTAAATGTGGTCAACCAAAACCAATAGTATGCATCAAGTAAGGATATTTACATCTATGCATGACTATGTATCATTAAACAAATGGAGCTGATAGTGCCAACAATGCATTTGAACATTCATGAGAAACTCGTATTGGCCAAAAGTTTAAATCTGAGAAATGAGTGTTCCCCCCCCCCCCCCCCCCCCCCCCCCCCCCCCGGGGGGAAAAAAATTTGTTTTAACTTTTGGTAAAAAATTTTTTTATCCCCCCCAAATAAAAAAAAAAAAAAAA